TGAGTGAACGTAAGTTTTCAGCTCTATTGGGAAAATACTTAGGAGTACAATTGCTGGATGAAATGGTAACACTATATTTAGCTTTGTAAGAAACTGTCAAATGGGAGCAGGGTGTGTTGGCAAGCACCTGTAGTCCCAGCTATTCAGGAGGCTGAGGCAGAAGGGATTTCTTGAGTCTAGGAGTGCAAGACTGGAGTATGCTATGATGACCCTTGTGAATAGCCACTGCACACACCCACAAAAGAAACTGTCAAACTGTCTTCCAAAGTGGCCATACCATTTTGAATTTCCACTGGCTTTGAAGGAGTCCCTGTTGCACGTCCTTGGCAGCATTTGTGGTGTTAATGTTTTGGGTTTTAGCCATTTCTACTAGGTCTGTAATGGTTATTTTGATTTGCAATTTCTAATGACACATGGTGTGGAGTGTGTTTTCATATGCCTATCTGTCATCTGTATGTCCCCTTTGGCGAAGTGTCTGTTCAGATCTTTTGCTCATTTTTTAATTGAACTTGTTTCCTTATTTTTGAGTTTTAGGTATTCACTGTATATTTTGGACACAAGTCCTTTATCAGATATGTGTTTTGGAAACATTTCTCTTAGTCTGTGACTTTTGTATTCTTCACAGCAGAAGTTTCTTTTTCTTTTTCTTTTCTTTTCTTTTCTTTTTTTTTTTTTTTGAGACAAAGTCTTGCTCTGTTGCCAGGCTGGAGCGCAGTGGTTCAATCTTGGCTCACTGCAACCTCTGCCTCCCAGGTTCAAGCAATTCTCCTGCCTCAGCCTCCTTGGCAGAGCGGCTGGGACTACAGGCACATACCACCACGCCCAGCTAATTTTTGTATTTTTAGTAGAGATGGGGTTTCACCATGTTGGTCAGGATGGTCTTGATCTCCTGACCTTGTGATCTACACTTTGGCCTGCCAAAGTGCTGGGATTACAGGCATGAGCCACTGGATCTGGCCTGAAATTTTATATTTTAATAAAGTCCAACTTAACATTTCTTTTTCCAACTCCATATTCAGTGTTATCATGTTGGTAGCTTGGAATCAGCCATTTTGGGAGTATTTACACTAAAGAATTGGTAGATTCTACAAATCAGGGATTTCCTCCTTCCTTACAAGGGTTAGTTGCTAAATCCTTTTATAGCACACGACTGCCTCCTACTTTCTATTGAATCATTCCAATTGGTCTGACTACTACTTTAGTCATAACTTTTTTTATGTACCAGAGGTTTTTTTGTTTTGTGTACATGTGTAAGATATTGGTATTTTATTTTTCTTGATTTAATTGCTCTTGGAAAGGCATGGTAGCTCATGCCTATAATTCCAGCACTTAGGGAGACAGATGCAGGAGGGCTGCTTGAAGCCAGGAGTTCCAGAGCAGCTGGAGCAACATAGCAAGACCTAATCTCTACAAAAAAAAAAAAAAAAAATAAGTCAGCTGTGATGGCATGTGCCTGTAGTCCCAGCTACTTGGGAGGCTTGGGTGGGAGGATCTCTTGAGCCCAGTAGTTTGAGACTGCAGTGAGCCATTATCACACCACTTCATTCCAGCCTGAGTGACAGAGTGACACCTTGTCTTTTTTTTTTTTTTCTGTGACAAGGTCACACTGTCACCCAGGCTGGAGTGCAGTAGCACGATCACGGCTCATTGCAGCCTCTACCCGTGAGGCTCATGTGATCCTCCTGCCTCAGCCTCCCGAGGAGCTGGGACTACAGATACATGCCAACATGCCCAGCTAATTTTTGAATTTTTGGTAGATATGGAGTCTCCCTATGTTGCTCAGGCTAGTCTCGAAATCCTGGGCTCAAGTGATCCCACCTCAGCCTCCCAAAGTGCTGGGATTACAGGTGTGAGCCACCTCATCCAGCAAGACCCTATTTCTTTGCAAAAAAGAATAACCAAAACATGTCTAAAGAAGAGAGAAGAGGGATTTTCCTTAGTATGTATGAAGATTTTAAAAAATTATAGTAATTAGGCCAGGCGTGGTGGCTCATGCCTATAATCCTAGCACTTTGGGAGGCTAAGGCAGGTGGATTACCTGAGCTCAGGAGTTCGAGAACAGCCTGGGCAATACTGTGAAACACCATCTCTACAAATATACAAAAAATTAGCCAGGCATGGTGGTGTGTGCCTGTAGTCCCAGATACACAGGAGGCTGAGTCAGGAGAATTGCTTGAACCTGGGAGGTAGAGGTTGCAATGAGCCAACATTGTACCATTGCACTCCAGTCTGGGCGACAGAGTGAGACTCTGTCTCGAAAAGAAAAAATATATATATGTGTGTGTATATATATATATACACACACACACACACACACACACATATATATATGGTAATTAAGCAGAGTGATAAATGTTAGGGCAAGTTTAGAAAAATAGATCAAAGCAACATAAAGGAAGCCCAGAAATAGATCTAAGCATAAGTAGAAACTTATGTGATCAAGAAAACATTAAAATCAGAGGGGAAATATTGGTCTGTTCAACAAAAGGTGTTGGAATCATTGACTTTCCTTATGGGGAAATAAAACTAAATTTAAGCTTCACACTACACACACAAATAAACTCCAAATGGAGTAAAGGATTAAAGCCCCAAGTGTCAAATCCCCAAATTTAGAACCAATGGAAGAAAGATATACAGAAAAATATTGTTAAACTCATGATCAAAGAGTTACGTAGGTCTTTGCAAACAAGGTACTAAACATTACAGATTATATTATATTACATTACATTATAGATAACTCATATGCCATAAAAGGTAAAAGTTTTTATATTATAAAAATGCTGGCTGGGTGCAGTGGCTTATGCCTGTAATCCGCACTCTGGGAGGCTGAGGTGGGCGGATCACAAGGTCAAGAGATTGAAACCATCCTGGCCAACGTGACTTGGAAACCCCGTCTCTACTAAAAATACAAAAATAAATTAGCCTCCCAGCTACTCAGGAGACTGAGGCAGGAGAATCACTTGAACCTGGAAGGTAGAGGTTACAGTGAGCTGCTGAGATCTCTCCACTGCACTCCAGCCTGGTGATAGAGCAAGACTCCATCTCAAAAAAAAAAAAAAAAAAAAAAAAGCCATAAATAAAAGACAACTGGCATGCTTACAGAATATATTTGCAACATATATAGCAAACACTTATTGTCTTGTCTTCCAATTTCCTGCCCCCTGGAAGCCACTGATACAGAAGCCTGAGGGAACACGCTCCTTGACCTCCTCCTCCAACAGAGAAAGGCCAGGAAGGGCTCGGATGGAAATTAGGATGAAGAGGTCCAGAATTCGCACAGCTACCAACAGACAATTAGTTGAAGAGGAAATCCAAATGGCCATAAAGCAAATGCGAAAATGCTCAGTTGCACCAGCAGCCAGGGGAGCCAAGTTAAAACAATGATACACAATTTTATACTCATCAGATTGGGAAGAATTGACAAATGTGATATGATCAAGTGCTGGCTATGGTGCTACTAGGAGTGTAAACTGATACATCCACTGAAGAGAGTATTTTGGGAATGGTGAGTAAAGTTGAAAATGGGCATGCCCCTCATCTGACAGGTGCAGTGTTTTTTTTTTCTTTTGAGACAGTTTCGCTCTTGTTGCCCAGGCTGGAGGGCAATGGTGTGATCTTGGTAACCTCCACCTCCTGGGTTCAAGTGATTCTCCTGCCTCAGCCTCCTGAGTAGCTGGGATTACAGGCATGGGCCACCACACCTGGATAACCTTTTTATGTTTTTAGTAGAGATGGGGTTTCTCCATGTTGGTCAGACTGGTCTCAAACTCCTGACCTCAGGCGATCTGACCACCTCGGCCTCCCAAAGTGCTGGGATTACAGGTGTGAGCCACTGTGCCTGGCCCTGTGTAGTATTCTTACAAAAAATGTCCAACCTGATAATCACGAGGAAGCAATAGGCAAATTCAGATTGGTGGGTATTCTGCAAGACAGCTGGTCTGGATTCAAGAGTATCAATGTCATTTTAAAATAGAAACCAGATTAAATCTGGGCGTGGTGGCTCACACCTGTAATCCTAGCGCTTTGGAAGACTGAGGCAGGTGGATCATTTGAACTCAGAAGTTTGAGACCAGACTGGGCAACATGGTGAAAACCCCATTTCTACAAAAAATACAAAAGATTATCCAGGCGTGGTGGCATGTGCCTGTGGTCCCAGCATCTCAGGGAGGCTGAGGTGGTAGGATCGCTTAAGCGTAGGAAGTCAAGGCTGCAGTGAGCTGAGACTGCACCACTGCACTCCAGCCTGGGTGACAGAGTGAGACCTCATCTCAAAAATAAAATAAAATAGAATAATAATAATAATAATTTTTTTTAAGGTATGATCTTCTGGTAACCTCCATGTTCCCTTGAGGTATGGCCTGCCTCCTTAACAGCCAGCTCTCCAGGCCTGACAATGACAGATGAAGGACCCCAGCAGCCCTAGGGAGACTCAGTCAACAGAGGCTATGCCTGCTCACCTCCCCCTGGGCCTCCTCTTGGGCTCTCTCTTTATTTTCTCAAAAAAAAAAAAAAAGAAAAGAAAAGAAAGAAACCAGATGAAAGAACTTTCTAGATTAAAGGACACCAAAGAACCACAACAACTAAATGCAATGCCTGATGCTTGTTTGGATTCTGGATCGGAAACAGCCAATGAATTGGATATAAAAACCATTATTGGGGCAATAGGGGAAATGTATACATTAAATAGTTTCACTGTATACTAGATACAGTATTGTGATGATGTTCCTGTCCCAGCCAAGGCTGACAAGCCCCCAGGGACTGAGATAGTTAAGATATTTAGCAGGCTGTCAGAGCCTTAAGAAAGTTCTCCGCCCAGGACTGAGGTAGGGGTTACTTTGGGCTGAGGGGATTAGCAAAAGGCTTGTGAAGTGGCTAAAGCCGTGACCTGGATAATTCAGGACTCAAATCCACCCGCATTGGAATTCTCTGGGTGACTGCCCAGTCCCTTGGCAGGTCAGCCAGCCAGCCACAGGGCCCGACTGTGCAGGACTTCCTGCCTCTACAAAGGCAGTCAGGGGCTGAGCAGGGTTCCACCCGGCTGGCTCCGGGCAGAAGATTTCCCTCCCCACCTCCAGGATTGTCCTCATCATCGCTCACTCTCAGCTTAAGATTCTGGAGGCCGAGAATTGACTCCCCCGGATCCATGGTCTGTGGACCCCCATGTTCCGGCTGGAGACGGGGAGCCAGTGAGACCTGGGGCTTCAGGGTCCGCCCAAGGAGTTTGCTCATGGCGGCAGACCTCTGGAGTGGGATTTGAGGCCAGGCCAAAGAGGTTAGTTACTGATGGGGGTTGTGGAGGGACGCCAGCTGGGAGGGAGAGACTGGGGAGTGGCGGGTGTGGAGAGTTCAAGAGAGAGGTGAGCAGGCAAAGCCTCTGTTGACTGAGTCTCTCTAGGGCTGCTGGGGTCTCCACCTGTCATTGTCAGGCCTGGAAAGCTGGCTCTTAAGGAGGCCAGGCCACACCTCAAGGGAAGTTACTGGAAGATCGTACCTAAAATTACCAACAAAACTAGGAAGAGTTATGAGTAGGCAGAGTTAGGACTTGTGTTCATGTTAATCTGAGGCTTTGCTTGGGTTTCTTTTTAACCTAAACCACAGGCAAATATTCCCCTTTAGGGAAAGAGATCACCAATATCGATTTAACATCCCTTCACTGTTGAGAGCGTCCACTGCGTGCCAGACACTTCAGTACACACAGAAAGAGACCCAGAGATGAGTAAGATGCCCTTAAAGGAAGATCTTCCTCCTGCCTTCCTCCATCTCTCTCTCTCTTTCTAGCTCCCCTCTCTGGAAGGCAGTTTAGCTTTGGGCTAAGTATATTTGGCCTCAGGAGTCAGACGGATCAGGACAACTCCGAGCTTTGACCGGCTGGACCACGTGTATGAGCCATTTCTTTTTTTTTCAAGCCTCAGGGTCCCAATCTGTAAAGTGCATATGATAGTAGTATCTGCCTCATAGGATCACCTTAGGGATAAGATGAGAGAAGCCCCATAAAGAACTTAGCCTGCTATCTGTGCTCAATAAGGCATCAGCTATTTTCGTTAGTTATTCAGCAAACATTTTTTCCTAGGACCCAATCTGTGCCATGCAGAGTGCTAGGTGCTGCCAGGGAGAGGTAAATGAGACACCGTCAAGGATTCAGTCTAGCTTGTTCATTCGTTAATTGATTTCATCCATAAATAGGTATCATGCCTTTATGCCGAGCACTGGAGATGTCAAAGTATTAATAAAAGACGCTGTCCCTGTCCGCAGGTTGCTCACAGCCTGGTGGGAGAGACATGGCAACACAGTATGATTGGTGCTGTGAAGAGAGGAGGCACAGGGTGCTGGGTGAGCTCAGGGCAGTGGATTGATCCACTTCGGGGCAGGGCGATGGATTCACAAGACGTTTTGGCAAAGGCAGACCCAGCTTCCCTGTTTCCCAGCCCCCAGGTGCGCTCCTACCCTGGGGCCTTTGTACTTGCCCTTCCCTCTGCCTGGAGCTTTCTTCCCCTAGGATGTCCCCAGAGCTTGCTCCTTCACCTCCTTCATGGCTTTACTCAAGTGTCACCTCCCCAGCAAGACCTTTCTCAGCCACCCTGTTTAAAGTGGCCACTCCAGCCCAGCACGGTGGCTCATGCCTGTAATCTCAGCACTTTGGGAGGCCAAGACGAGCGGATCACTTGAGGCCAGGAGTTCAAGACCAGCCTGGTCAACATAATGAAACCCCATCTCTACTAAAAATACAAAAATTAGCCGGTATGATGGTGCACAGCTGTGGTCCCACCTACTCAGGAGGCTGAGGCAGGAGAATCACTTGAATCCAGGAGGTAGAGGTTGCAGTGAGCTGAGGTCGTGCCACTGCACTCCAGCCGGGACAACAGAGCACAACTCTGTCTCAATAAACAAACAAATAAATAAATAAAGTGGCTACTCCCACCATCAACAGTCCCTGTTCCCACCCCCAAATGCACACGCCCAGCACTCCCACCCTGCTGCCTGCTTTGTTTTTCTCCATTGCATCCATCACCACTTGACAAACTATACATTTTACTTATTTGCTTGTTTGTTTCTGTCTTATCCCTCCTGAATGCAAGCTCTGCCTTGAGGGCAGGGTTCTCAGCTGTTTCGCTCTTTGCTGTATCCTCAGTATTTAGAGCAGCACCTGTCACATAATAGGTGCTTCCTAAATAAGTACGTAAAGTTTACAAAGATGAGAAGGAGGTGGGTTTTTTTTTGTTTTTTTTTGTTTGTTTGTTTTTGAGACGGAGTTTCGCTCTCGTTACCCAGGCTGGAGTGCAATGGTGCGATCTTGGCTCACCGCAACCTCTGCCTCCTGGGTTCAGGCAATTCTCCTGCCTCAGCCTCCTGAGTAGCTGGGATTACAGGCACGCGCCACCATGCCCAGCTAATTTTTTGTATTTTTAGTAAAGACGGGGTTTCACCATGTTGACCAGGATGGTCTCGATCTCTTGACCTCGTGATCCACCCACTTCAGCCTCCCAAAGTGCTGGGATTACAGGCGTGAACCACCGTGCCCGGGTAATAGAGTTAAGTAAGAGAAGAAAGAGAGGAAATAACAGATGAAAAGGGAAGGGGGGAGGGAGAGAAAGAGGGAGAGAAAGAGAAAGAGACAGAGAAAGAGAGACGTTGAAATTAGTAAGTTTAAGGAACTAACAGCCTTCACATCTGGCTTCTTTCCAGGAATGCTTTGGTGTGATATAAGGCAGGACTGGAGTAGGTGGGCGGCCAGTCATGCACGGCCATGTCCTGTGAGGGGAGACAGGTGCCTCTGACTTGGGTGGATGTGTTATGTGCTGTTACAGAGGTTAGAAAGATTGACCCAGGAAAAACGGAGGAAGCCATGAACTCTTCTGGGGAGGTATCAGGGAAGGTGTCTCAAAAGAGGAGGCACCTTCTCTTAGGCCCAGGGAAAGAGTTCCAGTGTTATTCTAGGCGTGATGGGCATTCTGAAGGCCTGTTCTCACAGCCCCCATCCTAACAGACAGACGCCGGGTTAGAAACTTTTCAGTACTTGCACTAGTGGATTTCACTTCGCGTTTGGTCTTTGTAGTGCCTCACGGGACCTCTGCCTACAGAATTGCTCAAGAAACATTTGCGTGGTTGGATTGGGATTGAGACAAGTGGAGTGGCCTTGAATTGTAGGTGTTTCAGGCTCATGGGCCTAGAACCGTGGGCACCATCTGTGATCTTGCCAGGCAGAAGGACAGCCTTTCCTAGGGTTTCTCCCTCTTCCAGAAAAGGGACATTACCATGTAGGAAAACAAGTAGGCTTTTACCAGTTAGAAAATGTCAGAAACAGATGCTTGGTGCCACAGAGAGAAATCAGCCCTGAGACAAAGAATGTCTCAGCGAGACAATTCTACTTTCTGCAGAAAGGATGCTCCTGTTAGCTATCTTGCCACCAGAGTACAAGGAACAAGGAAAAGGTAGACATGTTTATCATGTACACATTTGAGGTTGTCTTCACTGCTGTGACTAATCTGCATTGGTTGGAGCTAGACTGCATAATCTAAAACTGAACCCGATCGGCTAATAACTTAAAACGTCCGTGAATAGTTAAAGGCAATAGAGAACAAAAGAAAAAGAGGCAGTCCAAAGCAGGAAGGGACAGAAAGTTGCTTGTGAAAGGACTTAGAAAAGTAATAGCATAAATATCTTGGTGAAAGTGCAAGGACATAGAATCTCCTTTGTGCCTGTGAGTGTGTCTAACAGCTACACAGGATAGGGCTTAACAAAGAGTTATTAGCAAAAAGCGAGAACGCTTTGAAGAAACTCTTTAAAACAAACTAGGCCGGGCGCGGTGGCTCTCACCTATAATCCCAGCACTTTGGGAGGCTGAGGCGGGTGGATCATGAGGTCAAGAGATCGAGACCATCCTGGTCAACATGGTGAACCCCTGTCTCTACTAAACATACAAAAATTAGCTGGGCATGATGGCACATGCCTGTAGTCCCAGCTACTCGGGAGGCTGAGGCAGGAGAATTGCCTGAACCCAGGAGGCGGAGGTTGCGGTGAGCCGAGATCGCACCATTGCACTCCAGCCTGGGTAACAAGAGCGAAACTCCTTCTCAAAGAAAACCAAAAACCAAAAACCAAAAAACCTACTATTTCTAACACTTATGATTTATTCTTTAACAAGAAAGAAAACTTTGAAGAGGAACTTTTCTACTTTCTACAGAAAAGGAGAGTGGAGAACAGTTTAGGTCGAGGAAAAACAGCAGGAACAAAGGCAGAAAAGAAGGTTAGTTCATGGCAGATTTCTTAAGGGTGAACAGTTGAATGGATTACATTTTTCAAAGATAAAACATGTATTTGCTATGGAGTTGGTGTGCTGATTGCCTTCTTAGCCAAAGTTATGGTGAAGGTTGAACTTGAGCCTGTTATTAACCAATAGCTGTAACATGTACAAACTACACGTGCATCCTGGGCTGACACCAAGATAGAACTAGCTGTGTGTATCTTTAAGGGAAGCTGCTAATTTACAGCCTGGCTGAAACCCACAGGGGGCTGCTTTTATATCCAGATTTAATTGGTTCATCCATCCCATCATTCTTTTATTCCACAGATAATTATCAGCCACCAGATATGCATTAGGGGCCGGGTGCAGTGGCTCACACCTGTAATCCCAGCATTCTGGGAGGACGAGGTGGGCAGATCACCTGAGCTCAGGGGTTTGAGACCAGCTTGGCCAACATGGTGATACCCTGACTCTATCAAAAATACAAAAATTAGCCCAGCATGGTGGCCCCCATCTGTAATCTCAGCTACTCAGGAGGCTGAGGCAGGAGAATCACTTGAACCCAGGACATGGAGGTTGCAGTGAGCTGAGATCACACCATTGCATGCCAGCTTGGGTGACAGAGGGAGACTCCATCTCAAAGAAAAAAACCACACAAAAAAAGATATGCATTAGGTTCTCTACCACCTGCTGATAGGCTGATAATATAACAAAGAGCAAGATGAAGACAGACATGTTTTCTGCCCTCAGATGCTTATATTCTGGGGGAAGGCATAAGGCACATGAGCCATGAACAAGTAAGTTAAAGAGAGTTACAGATGATGGGTCGGTGCTATGAAGGGAAAAAACAGAGTGACCTTGGGTAAGTGGTCAGGGGAGGCCTCCTGGAGAAGGTGGCATTTAAGGTGAGACTTGGAGGATAAAGCAGCAAGGACTAAGTATTCTAGGTAGGGAAAGCAGGAAGTGCAAAAGCGGCATTGGAAAAGCTCGGAGGATTCATGAGCAAGTCGATTCGAGAGCACAGAATGTCA